AGGTTAATTAAGCAGGTTAGGGTATGATGACTGTTCTAAAAAATATATAGCTTAAAGGGGCTGAAAATCTTTGTCCTTAAAAGGTGTTTAAAAAAATAAAAACTGCTTTTATTCTAGCCAAAATAAAACAAATAAGACTTTCTCCAGAAGAAAAAATATTATCAGACATACTGTGAAGATTTCCTTGCTCTGTTAAAAATCATTTTGGGGGGCTTATAATTCTGACTTCAACTCTATATAATAATAATAATAATAATAATAATAATAATAATAATAATAATAATAAATCCTGTGGAGCATATATAAAGAAATGCAGATGAATGGCAAGTGTAATTTTCAAAAAAAAAAAAAAAAAAAAAAAACACCTTACAAGATCCTGTCATTAAAATTAACATTAGGACATCCTCAAACCAACACTGAACTTTTTTAAGTTTTAGGTAAGTGGTTGCGAACAATTTATATGTGCTGAATTTAAACAAACAAATTAAACAATTAAATTAAACTACTTGAACATAACAACATTTAGTTTGTTTGTTTGTTTAAGTTCAGCCCATTTGAATTGTTTAGAACCACTATAACAAAAACCAAATAGTCAGTGTAATGTTTTCAGCGTAAAGTTGTGACAACGTAGATAAGTATCACCTCAGGAGGAGCAAAGCTAAGTAATAAAAATCTATTTATGCCCCAGAATAAAATGCTTAAGTCATTGTTTCCATGTATCTGCATGATTTAACGGATTATAAATTATACATTCAGCGTTTACTCCAGCAAATATTTTGATTCTTCTGCATTCTTCCATGTTTCACACATAAATATTGTCATTCAGATTCATTTTATTTTCTTAAGTAATGAATTTTTTTTATTTGCCGTACATGAAAAATCAAGGTCATGCCACCAAATATGTCAGACTTGTCTGAATTTGTAACTAAATTCATTATTTTTGTGTCATTAGCTAGTGTAAACGGTGTACACTTCTTTTCCTACAGCAGCTCATCTTTCAAGTGAGATGTGTGGTGCATTCACACTTTCTACAAATCTTGCTTTTAAAAAGCATCCATTCAGTAAAAATATACCATGTTTCCTTTTTATCAGTCTGATCATTCTTCTCTGACCTCTCCCTTTAGAAAAGCATGTTCCCACATTACTTCTGCTCATTTTCTCTTCTGAAATCAAGAAGCATTTTCTTGACAAGAAATTAATTTTTTTATCTTGCAAAAAATCTGCTAGTGGGGTAAGCAAAATAAAAGTATAGTTAAATTATTTAGCTTATTAGATTAGATTAATTATTGTATTATTTAGCTTCTTTTAAGGAAAAGAAAACTTGCTTTTTTGTTTCAAAACTATTCTTGGTTTAAAATTTTTTTAATATTTTGACAAAAAAAAAATAAGAAAAGCATGTTGCAATGCAGTAGTTTCTAAATAAAGCACTTGCTCATTTGGCACCAACAACTCTTTTAGTAAAAAAAAAATCTGTTATTTAACAGTTGCTGTATATATTTTGTGATTAACACTTTTTATCTGTTTATTTACAGTTGTGAATTGCATTATGGGATGTTAATCACAAGTGTTTTGCGTTTATTTATGGTAGTGAATAGCATTATGGAACCTTGATCTCTGCTCTGTCGACTTTTGATGTTGAAAATTCAACTTTACAGTTTAACAAAGTGACTTTTATTTACAGTTTTAGTAGTCTAAATTATTATAATATTTAAGAATTATTATATAGAGAAATAAGTCTGTAAAACAACAGAAAATGTACTGGCAGTTTATTGCAAGGTTTTTGTAATGTAATATTCAACATCGACCCAGACATTATATTACTTCAAACTATTAAAAATGTTCATATTAATAAAAATTTCAAATTTGAAGAATGAAAGTTGTTGGAAGAAATATCAAGTTATCATAATACAGTTCAAAAGCATAAATAAATGGGAAACATTAAAACAAAAATCACAAAAATATGGAAAGCTGCTAATAAACGGATATTTTACAGTGTATATTTATATAATGATGCTATTTTATGTACAGTTTGAGTAAACCAGTCAAACTTGATATGGGGTTGGTGATTTTATTAATCTAAAACGAGACAAAAATAAATCTGAATACTAGAATGGAGGATTTTATACACTGAACGTGAATGTTGTGCTTTAGTTGGCTGTAATTATTAGTTCAAGCATGAGATCAAAAATAAATCAGATAAATGTGTGGCACCTGCTCCTTAAGTCCTTAGTAAAACTAAAACATGACGTCTTACTTGAAGCACTTTGTTGTGTAAAGTAATACCATGAGGGAAGAACAATGAGCTTTTGTTGACCAAGCACATCAGATGAGGCAACCATGACTAAGCAAAAAAAAAAAAAAAAAAAAAAAAGTCATCCGTCTTGTAGATCAAAATAGATATCAACTTGTAATAGGTTGAAGACTTTATAACATTAACAAACAATTAAAAAAAGAAACAATATTGAGGGAGCATAAAATATCGTTTAATAAGCACAAATTGGCATGAATGTTTCTTAAAGGGATGGTTCATGCAAAAAATAAAATTAGAATTTACTCACCCTCAAGGCATTCCATGTGTACATAAAATGTAGGATTTTGATGTCAAGAGGTGAGCTGAATGTTTTTTGTGTGTTTGTTTTGCAGCATTCTGTTTCTCCTCACTGGCCTTCCAAAAAAAAAAAAAAAAAAAACGTGCAATGCATACTCCCCTCCAGCTAGTGGCGCTAAATACACCAAAAAAATTATTCTCTTAAAATAAGTTGACGGCAGAAGTTTCACATAACTGTTTATAAACATAGACATTTTCCCAAATGAAAATGTATTGATTCACTACAGGAGACCTTCATTTACTGCTGGAGCTGTGAGAGGCACTTTTATTACAGATGGATGCACTTTGTTAGACCTGGTTTTTCTTAGTTGTTTACACACAATTACCTGTACTTCAGACACAATGACTACAACATGTAACTGATGCACCAACCCCCTGAACCAATTCTACTAAACTACAAGCACAATCCCACTCAATTTACACTCAAATTGCAGGTTTAAAACACACTTTTTTCAAAAAACTACACACAATTCTCTGCATTTGGCACAATTGTCATGCAGAAAATTTCTTGTTTTCACGAGGAACACACTGTCAAAATTGTAAAGTCAGTTGCCCTACCTTGCAAACGAACTCTTCACATAGGTAAACACCTGTCACACAGAATTGCAATTTAGAAATTAAAGCTCATCTGGTTTATAACTGGTTTACTGCCTACCCACGTTTTTTAGTTGTTTATCTCCCTCCATATTCTCCATTCCGCAAACATATTGAAGATTTTTTTTTCTGCCTGGGGATGGAAAGTGTATACTGAAATCCACACACACGTATACCCTACTGCTTGGCCCGACCAAAACAGAAAAGAGGAAGCAGTATAGCTGTTTTTTTTTTTTTTTTAACTGTATTCTGTAAATCCTTCTGTTGATGTTATATGTAGACCACGTTATGTGCAGCTTTGTGTTAGTTGATGAACACTGTGTACACTGTTTTGTGGTAAAAATCCAGTAAAATATATTTGGTATTTGTGTGTTTTGTATAAAAACGATATTCTGAAATATTTTACAATACACTTCTATAGGCCTAGGTAGTAAGTGTAACACTGAACAAAAAAAAGGCTTACAGTAAGTCATTATGATGAATGGAGATGAAGTGGTCATAGTGTTTTACATTAAGCACATCAGTGCTCAACTGGTTCTTATAAATGTCTACTCATGTGATGGCTTGTAGGCATTTGAAAACAAAACACCATTTTGAGAAGAAATCGCATTGTTTTGAATGTAGAGTTTGATTTTGCAGAAGAATTGAAGGGTTTTGCCCAATGTGTGTGTGTTTTGTGTGTAGAGTTCTGACAATATGAGACATGCTTTCAGAAAATGTGTGTAAACAATTGAGAAAAACTGTTAGAAAAACAGCCCCTGTTTCCACTGTCACACTTGAGAAACCCAGGAGTAATAGACTTTTTAAAAATTACTGAAAAAAGAAAAGAAAAGCGTATACACCGAGGATGCACTGAGGCTGACTAAATTATAGATTCATTTTCATTTTTGTGCAAATGTACGGTGGCCGAGAGAGCTTATTGTGCTGCAATTGACAGTTTTGTATGATTGCTTACAGGTTTTCATGATTGCTAACACACTAAAAATTAAACTTTTCTCACTATTAGCAAAACGGTACACTCAAGGAGCAAAACACAAGGCCAGATCTGCACAACTGTAAGCACATTGTCAGCTTCACTCTCTTTGCAAAACATTACACACAGTGATATGCAAAACACACTTGGATGCTTATGACACAGACATTTTTACATAATGGAATTTCCTTGCAATTTCAAAGCAAAGGCCTTCAAATGAACACACACATGAACCATAGGATAAACACAGCCATCAGGTGTGCACTCACACACACTAGACACACCAATCAGCTGTAAACACAATAAAAAAGCAGTAGGTATAAACTGTTGTCTTCAATAAACATGTTTACAGTAGTATAGCTATAAATAGTAGTCTTCAATAAATATGTTTTACAGGAGCTATACATATTAATCTTCAATAAATAAGCCAATGTTGCAGTATGGAAGAGGAAGCACGAAAGTGAGGAAGATTGGTAAACAGGAGGCAATTTTTTTTTTACATTGAAATGTATACATCACCAGAAAGCTGAATGAATAAGCTTTACATTGTTGTATGGTTTGTTAGGATAGGGCAATATTTAGCTATTATTTGATATAAATATTTATTTATATCAGTCTATCTCTTTTTGGTGAATACAGTATGTTCAGCAATATCTCTCAAACCCTGATTATATCAGTATTAGTCAGTTAAAAATGATACAAGTGTTTAAGATTGATTACAGCAGTGTGTAAATGAATCAAACGGATGTATAGAATGAAGTGTGTGTGTTCTGTACGGTGTCAACATTGTGTTTTGTTATAGTGTTGTAAAGTTTTGGATGAAGTGTTTTATTTTGCAAAAGTTCTGGTGTGTTCTACTGTTTGTGTG